AATGCTTGCCATACAGTGTCCTGTATCTATAACATTTTATAGACGCTTTTGGAATACGGTTTTTACTTTATCTCTTATTCGCTTTATCCGTTATTTATACTTATTTGTTTTATCTCGTAAGTAGTGATTTTATTAAGTTTGCACGTCGTATATGCGTATATACTGTATGAACGCATGAAATATAATTTGTTTAATTTTATTTCAAGTTTACATTAATTATAATGTTGCCTCCTCTCCTATATTATCAGTATTGTATTATTAACATACTGTTCGATAAGATTACAAATTATGTTTCTTATTTACATCTTAATATATAATTTCAATCACTCTTAAGGACATAAAAAAATCTTGTGTTTCTGTAACACAAACAAGATTTATATGTGTACCTATCCTATTTTATTAATTTACATATTAAGGTTTGCAATATTATTCTATTCTTTGTATTTCCTCTATTTAAAAAATGTGGATTGTGATGACTACACTTTTAAAAACCTCTATTCTTTAATTATTAATGTGCACGATTATTTATTTCTTTAGTAGTTTTTCTTCTACTATGAAAATTTAGCATAGCAAATACTACAAATTATAATCACGGGATAGATTGTTGTAATCGTAGGAAATCTACTTTTTGTTAATATTACATAAAGTAAGATAATAGAAAATAGTATAATAAAATGATTAATTAGATGCAATATTTTATGTTTGATCTGTGTCATGACAGACACATTAGTTAATGAAATTTGTCCTTTCTATCTCTAATAGGCCGAAGTGGAGTCTGCATGTAAAGAAAACTTAGGATGTTTGCAGACCGTGCTGGATACTTCGCAAAACGGATACTTGCGAAATGAAAAATATTTCAAACAAATTCGCGGTGAGTACAAGCAATTAATCAATTTCAAATCACTCATAACTACCACATTATGTCTTACAATTAGCGCGCTTGTTTTCCGGTTTCTTTCTTATGGTGAGCGGTGAAAACGATTGTAGAAACAATATTTTCCTATTGCATGTTAATACGCAATGGTAAAGTGAAAAATCTTTGTACACAAAGATATGTACTCACATGATTATTTTATCGTATCTGCCGTTATCTCATATTATCAGTACAATCGCATTTATTTTGTTGATCTGATGAATAGATAACAAAAATGTAAATGTCCATTTCCATCGCACCAAAATTTTATCGCATGAGAGCCTATTTCTATTGTTAGTAAGCATGTCAAGTTTTAATTCGTCTGTGTCAAAATTAGCTGTAATCTACTATATCATTGCGAAATCATTGCTCTAGTTCGACCGGTTTTATATTTATGACCCACCGAATAGCAAAAACTTAGGAAATTTTAAACACGATTTTAATCCAACTAATATTATTTATCTATTTTGTATATATGTATACCTTATTATTTATGTTAAATAAAAATCTTTATGTTAATCTGCTTATTAACATATATTAAATTGCTTCTAATCTATTTTCTCTTTATTTTAACCTTTTGCGATCTACACAATTTTTGTTACTGTTATTCGATAAATGCGCGGTGTTTTCAGCTCTTTACAAGCTTTTGTATTTAATTTAGACATTTTAGACCATGTAGGTGAATGTAGAAAGAGATAAGTATTGTCAAAAATATAATTGATAGAAAGCAAAGAATTTATGCGGCGATGAAATATATTTCATAAAAATATGTGCTGAAACATTAGTTTCTCTCCACATAAGTATATGCTTGCAGCATTATTCGTGAAACTAAGAAATGCAAAATTGTAATTAAAATAGTATAATGCAATCATGTGCGCTTTCATATCTAAATCGACGTTAGACACGACACAATTTGCTTTCTAGTCAGTAGCAAAGTTTGAACAGGCGCATCCGAGCGCAGGAGAAAGGAGAAAAGGAAACATCGCTGCTCCTAACGACCATACGGGGCATTGTAAATTAATTGTCTCGCAGTATTGTTTATTCGCGGTATCGGTGTCAGGAGTGACGGCGTCGAATGAGAACTTCCGACAATTTCATGACCCGCATTAGTGTATTAAGCGTGCCGTATAAGCGTCAGATCAGATTAACGACAAGTTTTATTCCGATCGTAAATCTAACGAGATCGTTAGATCGCCGATCGCGCATACACGTGGGTGCTGAGGTGGGCGCGTAGGTGGATACGCACGCCGCATATGTAACATGTATCTACCTCTCGGCCGACTCTGAGTCTCGCGCCTTATATGAAACTTAACGACGCTGATCCGTCCAGGATCGTAGGAACCGGTGGTAGCGGTACCGCGCTGATCCCCGTGATCGCCTCGGTGTGCGCGAATCACAATTCGCTTGCTCGCACGCGCAATCGTATCTCCGCTACGTCGCGGTCGGGGCATCACGTGAGCACGATGCTCGCTCCCGCAAATGAGCGCCGTGCTTCGCAGTGTTTCGATGCGCCCGAACGTCACCAGACGTTCGCCCGTCGTATTCGCGTCGCGCTATTCAGCTAACTGCCACCGTGATTTATCGAAAGATACATCCGCAGATCTGCCAGACGCGATCCATCTGTCATTTCGAATTTCTTGCCCTGATGCTTGCGCGAAGACAGAAGGTCGCCCCAAACAATTCGCGTACGTATTACCTTCGTTCGTTATCGTTTCGTTATTGCTGTCGTTGCGCAGTTAGTGCAATTAGCTTTATATCGTAATGACCGTGAGCAATGTTTTTTTCCTACGCAACTGACAAGTTTGAAGTTCTTTTCGAATATATTAATTATGAAAAATAAAAATCGAACAATTGCTAAATTTCAAATTTCTTTTCGACTTCTTTTCGAATATGATCACTATATATGTTTGTATACAAAAGGGAATAATCAATCGCCTTGAATGACTTTTGTGGAAAAATTTACAAAATTAGGTATAGCTGTCGTATTGTTGAAGGATTCGCAATATATTATATCGTTGACCGTATTAAACGTTGGATGTTGCCAAAATTACGGCTAGAAACGACTCACGTATCCAAAATGACGTAAACGGTACGCTGCCGACGCGATTATACGATGAGAACATCGATCAAAGGAGATCAAGTAAATGCTTACGCAAGCAGATGTTCGAATAAATCGCCGAATAGGAAATCTGGATAACATTATCTCGAAATATCATAATATAATCTCTTACTGATATGTTAGAAAATTTAAAAAAGCATTGCTACGCTGAATTTTAATTTTTGATTACCTATTTCGAATTTATAAAACGACACATTAAAAAGGCAGAACTGTAAAGGCAAAGGCGATTGTAGCAACCCTTTTTTCCGGATCCTCGCATTGTTGCGTGCGGTAATAATATACGTCGTCCATGCAATAACCGTTCCGTTACCCGCCGAATCCATCGATCATTCTCGGCGATATCACCGTTTGAAACGCGACTCGACGCGACGCGACTGCACGATGTGCCGCGCATGACGTGACGATTGTGCCCGTGATCGTCGCTCCACTTCTCCGAGACGGAATAAAAAATCGCAATTAGTTTCGCGAAAGTAAAGTAAATTGCGCCGGGATGTTTTCGGAATGTTGGCAGACTCGCGAGATTTCACGACTAAAAATATTCAAATGTTGAGATCTACGCGAATCCGTGCGTCGACAGAAGCCTGGGCCACCGCGCTCAACGACTCGGTGTGAACCGTTTACGTCTCCCCTTTGTGTTCGCCATCAATTCGCAAGCACATATGCGTGTTTCCGCGAAAGACGCGTCGTGCATTACTTCGTTCGGAAACACCAACTGCATTCAATGGCGATTTACGCTCTGGCGATCGTACGCGGCGGAGCGAGGCGTACGATCGCACGAAGCGTGCGTTTCCACAATGCGCGTTTGTACATATGCACCACGTGTACAGCACACGGGCTTTATATCGCGTTCGTATCGCGTTCACGTCACGTTTTTTTTCACGCTCGTATACGTATGGTCCGTCATTTCCTGTAGGTCAATGCAAAACATGATACTTTCTACGCGTCGAATTTTTCCTATTGCATTCCGTACACACGCCTCTCTTCGACGATGTAGCGGTGATTTTTACGACGTTGCGATGCCGCGTTAATTCGATTCTTATTCGTTTCTTTCCCGTCCGTATTCGTATCGTTTCTATCGTGCTGACGATGCGATTTCGGTCTGGAAAAAGTGGCCGTCGTAAAAGAAAGTGGCGGGACGGGAAAGAGGTCACGGCAGCCGTACGGTACAGACATTAAGTATCTTGACCTTTAAGATTTTTTGTTCGCGATCGTTTTACATAACCGGCTGATGAGGGCCACAAATCGTTACAGATACCGTTATTACGAATAACAGTATAAGCTCTTTAAAGCCCGGAAACGAAGCGACATATAGGAATATAATTGCTGGTTTCCTTTCTTTCACAAGGCTCGCTGGTGAAAGAAGGAAAGGAAACACAGTTGGACGCACGAATGCGCGCGTCGAGTATCAAGATGACATATGTTAAATTATTGCTACATTTAAGAATGTAGGGAAGTCTGCCGTGCTATTGTGCTATGTTAGTTATAACATTATGTGCTCTTTCGACATATTAACAACTCTATATAAAACTGTATATTATAGTTATTTATATTATATTTTTAAGTCATTGTACAGAAGAAATAATTAATTGAAATTCTATTATTTTTTTATAAATAATTTTAAAACACAGACACACATACAAGATATTTTCAATACATAAAATTTCTATTCGCTTATCTTATTAAATGTTCTAACAAAAATTGATGGAGTAATATAAAACATTATCGTGCATCTTAAAGTACTGTATTAATGTTGCGCTATGTTGTATAATTTGTTTAGGTACGATCGAGAGATGGGAGACTCTGTTATCGCGAGTCGAGCAGGCGCAAATGGCCAGCGTTTTTCATCACGAGCTAGCTGCCATGAAAACGGAATTTAAGACCATGTACGATCGATTTGTTGATTATGAAATTGGCTTGGAGCTGCCGAACGTGCTCGACGATCGCATTAGCGAAATCAATGTAAGTTATTTTTAATATTATGCATTTGATTTCGCATATACGCATATTATACGTACTTGAAAGCTGTTTCTAAGGAGGATTTTTGAATTCTCGTTAGATTTATTTAGATGAAAACTTTTCGATTAATGATGTTATAAGTAAAGTTTACATATATACTTGTGTTTAATGATAATTTTCCATTAGATGCGATTTGGAATCGTAGTTAATTCTTGGGACAATATTACAGATACCTTTTTATCAACAGTGAGTAAATGCCACGTGTATATAAGCGTATGATAATGCATGTACTGCTGGTAAGCGTACCGGTAGAGATGTGATCCTCTTGAGAGATCCTCTTGATAGATGATCCTCTTGCGTTAAACAAGAAACCTTCTGTGACTCAACTGATATCAGAGAGTCTATACATCTTTTTTGATCTTGATCTTGTTCTGTAAAATTAAATAAATTTACATTTGCAATATTGATTACTTTATCTCTACATAATTTTTTATATATAATGCATCAATTAATATTAATTTAAAGCACTTCTTACTAAAAAATATCATTATTAAATAAATAATTTTGAAAAAACATAATTCTTTTTAATAATGAAACACTATTGTGCAAAATTGTTAATAGTAATATTAATGAGGCTTTGAGAATACATTAACAAATTTCGATATCTGAGAATTTGGTTGGAGATTTTTGGTAGCGCTTATGCCGCGGTGGCGATTCTAAAAATTCGAAAGTAAAGAAAATTCGAATTTCGGACGTGCATCTTAAGACACACAAATTCTTGACGAATTTCTGCAAGTTCTTCGGGAATCGAATCGCGATGGAAAAGCGCATTATTGGAAATGTCTCTGGTACGGCGGGTAAGACAGAAAAGTCAGAAACTGGGGGGGGTAGAAAGCTCGCCAAGCAGTCGTGGTCGGGGAGGAAGGGAAGGAGGAGGAGGAACAAAATGAAAGCGGTCGAAGGAGGTGGACTAAGGGATGAGGGAGGCGTTGGCGGAGACGGGGAGATAGAGAAGGAGAGTAGGAGAGAGAGCAGTCAGGAACCAAGTAGAGGCAGAGGTAGTGGCGTAAAAGCGTAGTCGTGTCGCACGTACGCTCGTCTGACGGCGACGTGCTCGGCATCGCAACTCGCGCGGAGAGCGAACGCCGGCGAACCTAGCTAACCCCCGCTCGGTGGAGTTCCACCCCCCGAGAGTCATCCCCCTTCGTCGATCCTCCCGGCACATTCAGCCCTACCGCGGAAGCCCTCCGTGGAAGCTGCCGCCGCCACCGCTGCCGCCGCACCCCCGGCAACGTTCTCCGCGCCCTCCCCAGCCTCATTGCGAAGACCAAACACATGCTCCCTATCTATCATCAAGATGTATTAGCGTCCAACATTTGCCGGGTGAACTCGTCGCTCTGCTGCATTATGCACGAGAGTGTAGCTCGCGTCAATCCGCGCCGGTCCGAACGCGAGAGTCGCACTCTTGTTTTACCTCTTCTTTTTCCTTTTTTTTTTTCGTTTACTTCCCTTATGCTTTTACCGTCGTCAAAGTCCCTGATAGCGAGGGAAGTTTGACGCGGTCGTAAGACCCACGACGTCGTACGGCCAGTCATTGAGAGACTGCGGTCTCTCAACGGAAATTCGTGCAGGCTGAGCAGTCGTTAAAAAAGTCGAGATACGCAAACGTCGACGCAGTCGTGTGCGTGTGCGAGTGGACACCATCAACAAGCTGATTACGTATCGCGAATGATTGTCCGCCGCGCGACCCACGTGGAGAGTTCGCGATTGGGATGCAGGCCGCGTCTCCGAAAAGCGCAACGGCGCGAACAAACGCAGACTGACGCGCGCGAGACAGAATTGAACAATCCGTTATGTATTATGCATCGCTAAGCAGGGCGCAATTGGGTCTACGCGTCCATCCCGCGGGGCACGTACATTCGGTTGGCGTGGGCCGAACGTACGACGCGACTCGATGAGGCACGTCGTCCCACTGATTATGTTATTGCGTAATATCGAACAAACGTATGTGCAGTTCGCTTCATCCGCAAAATTAATTGTACGTGATAATTTTCTGACATCCACTATAAATAATTGATCAAATTAACCTTATGGGAGAACTGTGATTTTTTTTTTAAATATGCACAATCATGTAATATCATATTAATATATACGACCACACACGTATGCAATAACATTTAGCGCCAAAATTTACGTACGTTTATTGTGAAGACAGATTTACGGTGGTTGGTAAAATTTAAAAAAATAAAAAATCTATCTACATTTTCTCTCAATTTCTGTCCTCGTAAAATTCGGTTTTTAGGTTCCATCGCGCGAAGGGAAGGTGATACGCGAGCAAAAGGACGGGGGGATCGTGGCACAATTAGAATACTGGCAGTGTATCTCCGTTCCACTTAGTACCGCGGAATTACGAGACGTAAAAAGCTAATTCTCTACTTTTACGGGGTACGTGCCCGGTGGTGTGGCGAACGGCCTCATAGGCATGCAGGTCCCGAACGCGCTTCGACCGCTCTGTATACCGAATTCGAATCAATTGATTGGCTGTTGATTGGAAATTGAATTAGATCGGAATGTGCGTGTCTGCTGCGAGCCGCGGGGGCACAGCGAGGGCGAGCGAGGGTAGGTCGATGGCAGGGAGTTCGGCGGCGGCTGCCGCTGGTTTTGCGTCGTTGATACTGATGGCGGTGGCGGCGAAGAGAAGCGGGTAGCAGGGTGGTTACGAAAAGAGGGGTAGATGCGGGGAACGGCCGCTTCTGCCTTTGCTATGCGCCCGGAATATCAATGACAACCACTTTTCGCCGGACACCGGGGCAAATCCACGCCGCGCACTTTGCAATCCACCGACCGCGTCGGGGACCGTTCTCCTTTTCATCGCGCGATTTGCTCCGCTTGACGGCACAAACAAAACCAACTAACTACCAGCGGCTTGCGGCTCGAGTGCCGCGTGCAGTTTTATAAAGAAATTTTCCAAAATGGCAAAAGAAGATGCGCGCCGATCACTGAGCGGAGCGTTATATAGTGTTCCGAGTCGAGTCGAAAAAAATAATGCGAACGAGCATTTATCAGTGGCAGCATAGCTAAATATAAGGGTTGTAGAAACACACGCGGCATCGCACGATGCAGTAACCACGTCACGTTGTCACATCCCCGTCGTCCTACCGCGGGACGCTACCGACGAGGACCGCATAAATAAACCCGGGTTTACGACGGCGACATAGGGCGTAAGAGAACGAAAACGAGAGCCCGTTCCTCTTCCCGTTCCATTTCTCTCGCTCATCGCGTGACGAGCAGGAGACCTCCAAGGGAAGCTCGTAAAACTCGCCCTTGCGGTCATCTCGCGCGTCTTATATCCTCTGCCTCTCGTTTCTTCCGTTCTTTAAAAGTAATTTCTTTCTCTCTTCGAAGGAACTACCAATGTTCGCCGCGCTGCGCTGCGTCTCATTCGATCTTCGATCGAGCGCAAAACTTTTAACACTAACACTTTTATACATTTTCGATGCTGTATCCTCCGAATAGAAATGGAATAGTGATTGATGATCAATCGACTATAAATAAACTTTCCAAAACCTTCCGAAAAATATTTTCCATTGTACATATTCGTCCGGAATATGTCTATTTGATTTCGATTAGTTTGATAGACACAGGAAAAGTAAAAGGCACAGAATGCGCGAGGCTGCATCGATCGATCGACACGGAAAGAAAGTTATCCGACGTTTCGGTAGATACGCGATAAAACTCACTTAGATCCCACGTGTATCCGTTCTTGGCCGGATTCTTAGTCCGTGGCCACTTTATACATCACCTTCACCCTCGGGCGACCCCTGCGCGTTTGCCCCTGCACCGCGGGTAATTCGTTTGAGTTAGGCGAGCGAGCCAGCTACTAAAAATGTATATTTTATGTTCGCAGGCCGAGTTGGCTGTTCTGAAGGACCGCAAGGCGGACATGGCCACGCTGAACGCCTCCGCGCACCGTCTGCTGACGTCTCCGCACACCGATCTCGGTGCCTCTGCGCCGTTAATTTGCACAGCCCTCAAGGATGGCGTGGCGGATCTTTACAGGATATGGGACGAGACGTTCCAAAAGTGAGTGTTGTAATTGCCTTTTTCAACTAATTATTGAAAATCAAGAAAATTGCAACATATGTACTGCAGTATGCAAAATATTCCAAATCGTAAACTAACGTTTTTTTATTATTCATTTAATTATTAAACAAATATAAATTAAAAGCATGCGCTCTTCGTAAATACATGCTTATTAATAGTCCACAACAGAGATTTTGGAAAAATCGCGTAACGAGCGAGAAAACGGTTTGGTAGTTTTCTTGATTAATTTGGAGAATATCCTTACTCTCTGCGGGGCTCAACGGTACATCCCGTATAGAGTAGTTGGTACTGGATCACATTGACTGGCCGTTTGCTGGCCGACGTGTGACGTTAGGCAAATATTTTGAGAAGTAATGAAGCCACCAAAGCAAACAGCGGAAACCGAGAGCGGCATAGGTACCGCCAATAAGGGCTCTCCTCGTTGGGATTTTGACCCGTGTCGTGGGATTACTAGCTTTAACAGAGATCGCGTTTAATCACGAACCTTTTCCAAGTGACAGTTCTAACAGAAAAGCGACCGATCGAGATTCGGAATTAAGGAACAGCGCGATGCAATATCTTCTTGCACTTCCCTGTCAAGACTTTTATCGATGTAAAATATAAAAAAAAACATAGATCGTATTTGTTAATTTAGTAGAAAAAAATAAAATCGATTTTATTTTATAAATTAGTGATCTTTACACATATTAAAATTAAAATTAATTTTATATTGAAATTAAATTACTTATAAAAAATTATTTATTATTTCACAAATTTTTTTTATTGTTATAATTATAATTTATTAGATAAATTTATCATTTTAAAAAATTTTGTAAACAATAATTTTTGCTATAATATTTTTCTTCAAACGAGCAACGATGAATAGTTAGCGCGATCATTACAACCCTCTTTTAATTTCCATATGAGCATTCGATTCCCCCCTTTGATAGGGGTTTAGGCCATTCAAAAAGGGGTTTACCACTGACCCATTGGGATTTACAGAGGTCAATCCTATCCCTTCATTTGGTATGAAGAGACACTTCTATTCTTGAGAGATGATTTCCACAAAGAATAATTATTGAACCCTTCAAACTATTTGCGCAATTAATCGGCAATTAAAAAAAAATGTTTATCAACGTCGTAAAATATGCAAGTCTAATTATAAAATATATATTATTAATATATATTAACTCTTCGTTTTTCTGAATGGATACGCCAATGTGAAAAAGGGACACGGATCAACCTTTCTCGATTCATTCGTATTTTCGCTAGGGACGTTCACAGATTGACCTGGAATAAAGTGTTTTTATTTGCCGATAGTGCCGGAGGGAGGTCCTACTAATAATTC